CATTCACTTACTCACTCGCTCACTCATTCACCCACTCGCTCACTCATTCACTCACTCACTCACTCGCTCACCCGCTCACTCACTCACTCACACATTCACTCATTCACTCACTCATTCACTCCCTCCCTCGCTCACTCACTCACTCATTCATTCACCTCTTCACTTAATAATTCACTCATTAATTCACTCATTCAACAAACATTTTTTTTTGGCAACCACACTGCAGGCACTGGGCATAGTGTGATTTTTGAATGTTAAACTCCATTTGGGTTGTGTATATTGAGGATTTCATGATTTTCAATCATCCTGGGCTGAATCTTATTTAGTTATTGTAGATTATTCCTTTAATGCATCACAAAATACTACTAACTGATGTTTTATTCAGTGTTTTCCAGCGTGGCATCCCCATGTGAAATGTGTCTGCAGGTCTTCTGTTGGACCTGATATCACAGTTTGGCACTAGGGTTCTGTTGGCTCTGAAGGGTGAGTGGTTGGGGTCCATCCTGGTTGTATTTGAGAATGGATCATGCTGTGTGCCCCTTGCGCAGACTTTACACCTGTGAGATTGTGAGACTGACAGAGTGCTGGGAACTCAAGGACGACAGACTGGATAATTGTTATTTGATTCTAAAGGGATACAGCCCTCAGTGTAGGGCTCCTTCTCTTGGCTAATGGTTGCTGGCCACGTTCAGGGCCACCCAGCTGGCATGCCATGGCCTGCTTCTCACCCAGCCTAGGTGGCCAACACCCACACATCCTTGCTCTGGGAAGAGGGGTTGGTCACAGGTGCCACTGGGATTTTTCTATCTGTTCCCAGCGAGCGTACTGAGCTTTAACTTGTGTGAGTGGACTTGTTTAAAGAGAAACAAATAGTTCTGGTGACAGATACGCTTTCTCCAAGGATTTCTGGTGCAGGATCTCACTGTAAGACATTGTTTGCAGAAGGCCATGCTGGCGGATGGTCCCCACCAGCATGTGCTCACCTGCGAGGCTGTGCAGAAACAGCGGTTGCTTTTGAACAAGTACACACTCTCCCCTTTCTGACTCTGATTTAGTGTCCTGGTATCCCCACCCTGTCCCTGTGGGGCTGAGTGGGTGCAGGGTGTTGGTCACTGCAGGACACACGATGAAGATGGATGGCCTCTACCTTACCTTGGTTAAGCATCTCAGTGCCTTCCATCTTCTGAAGGAGATGGACCACTTTCCCAATTGACTTGCCAAAGGTCAGCAGATCTAGGGAAGAAACATCCCCTCAGATGGGCCGTGGACACCTTGGAAGGCTTCCGGGAGGTGGCTCTGAGGGGCTGCAGGACAGGCAAGGTGTGCAGTGCCCACTCACTGTCCCAGAGGAGGCTGGCCCGCAGCGCGTTGTCCCGCAGCAGTGTTGGCCACTGGTTTGCCACGATGCTCCTGACGCCCACCAGGCTCAGAAGGATGGCAGTCTCAATGGGCTCCTCCAAGGATAGCTGGGATGTGCTGCAGGACCGCGCTTCCATGGGCTGGTGCCAAGGGGCCTGGCCCGAGCCCACTCCCATCCACAGCCCAAATTGTGCCAACCGTTGGACTGACAGCTCTTACAGTTCTTGAAATAATTCTTCCCACCACAGTTAAGTGCCCACTTAACAAGAAGCATGGGCTGGACACAGCAGTGGAAGCCCGCACTGAGAGGGTAAAGGCCCTGCTCCCCAGCAGCACACACGGGCCCAGATGGTGTGTGACAGGCAGCTCTGATGCTAGGGTGGCCTCCCAAGCAGCTGCCCCTCTGTCTCCCCACCTGAGCTGCTGGGCTGTGCCTGCCCTCCCTGCCTGGTCCTTGCTGACTAGGCACCGCCTCCTCCACATGCCCCCAGGGCCTCTGCCAGGGAGGGAAATCTGGGAAGACCATGGGACCTCAGAGCACAAGTCCCTGCTCCCTTGTGGAGCTCTTCCTGCCGGGGGTGTAGGGACACCCATCACTCATGTGTTGCCCCTCCCCAAGTCTGCCCCTGCCCATCAGGGGCCCCAAGCTGTCAGCTCCTGTTGGTGCAGAGGGGGTGTCAGGCACCTCTTATTCTCTGAGACAGCCATCTGCCGCCGCATGCTCTCCAAGGACTGCGTCCGGTCCAGCAGGACCATCATCTGGCACTCTGCAGGACACAGAAGGCTGGCTCAGCAGCTGAGTGGCCCGATGGGCCTGTGCCCAGGGCCCTGTGCCCCAGAACTGGGTGGATCATAGAGATGCTGGCCAATCAGCCCGAGGCTTGGCCTTTAGAGACCCAGTGGCCACACATGGACATGTGGACACTTTTTGCTTCCGGAGCCCCACACCTTTCACAGCCTCCTCAGAATGACTGGGCCGGACAATGGGACGTGGCAGAAAGCCTACTCCGGGGCTTCCTGCGGCTCCCTGCTCAGCAGGGAGGTCTCAGCTCCCCCATCACTCCTGGAAGCTTCCGGCATTCCACACTGATGGTGTTCGAGGCTGCACCAACGCCCAGCTTTACCTACACCTGCCACGCCAGGGGTCACGGCTGAGCTGGGCACGGGGGGGCAGGCCAGCTGGAGGAGTGTTGCTTCCTTGCGTGCTCTGGTAGAGGGCTGGTGGTTGCAGGGGATGCTGGAGGTTCCTGGGGTGTGACAGTCCCAGGCACACAGGCACAAATTAGTCACCCTGGCTGAGTGTGCCTACTAAAACAGGTGCCAGTGTCCAAAAGGCAACCCTGCTGTGTGGTCTGCAGGGAGCCCCTCAGGAGCAGAGGGGACCCTGCCTACCCCCTCCTGGCCTGGCAAAGAGTGGACTTTGGGGGCTGTGCCCACAGGTACAATGTCTGGCCATGCAGGGACAAAGCCTGGGCACGCTGGCAAGGCTCCACTCTGCGTGCAGCCTGTGAATGTACGGATCTCCTCTGCTTGACTCACCACTGTGCTAGGAAGTAAGCCTTCAAAGACGCCCTGGTTCCACCTCCACCCAGATGAGGAGTCGGCTTCCAAGTGACATGCTGACAGAGTGGGGAGGGGCCTACCTGGCCCCACCCTCATCTGCCCCGGCAGGCCCTGGAGCCAGGGGGCCTGGAAAGCAGGCCTGGGCACCAGGTGACAGTGCTGGGCTTGGGCACCCTCAGCCCACTTGTGCTGCCACCACAGGGGCCACTGCACCTTGTGAGAGGTGAAGGGGACGTCTCCTAGGGCCCCTGAAAAGGCCCCAGTCACTGTGCACGGTGGCCGGCCACCCAGCATCCCTGTCAGGAGGAGGTCACGGGGGCAGGCCAGGCCATCACACAGGGTGTCCTGGGGGTCACAGACACCCTCCCAGGTTGGCAGCTGTGGGTGTGAGGGTCAGAGGCCCATGGCTACTGAGCCTGTGCAGACCATACAGAGGAAGCCTGTGTGCAGCCAGGAGGACGGACTGTACCAGAGAGGGCCGGAGGGCCAGTGGTGGTGGTGGGGAGGGTGGGCCTGTGCCTTCCTAAAACATCCCGGGCCCTCTGGCCCCTTCTTCAGAGGACGATGGGCCTGCCCTGTCCCCTGCGGATTCGCCTCGCCCCCACAGGTCCTGGCAGAGAGTCTCACCTTGCAGGTTCATGGCGACCAATCTCTCCACTAGCACATGTGACAGGAAGCCCTCCATGCCGTAGAAGAAGAAGCCACTGCAGCTGCCCAGGACCTGCTCCCACTCGGCCTGACTGCAAAGGGAGGGAAGTGACTGGTGGATGCAGTTCCCAGGGACTCATCCTGGGAATGGACCCTGTCCTGGAATAAAGCCCATCTCTCGGGAGGTGCTGGCTCTGGGAAGTGCTAGAAGGGGCCTCCCTGATGGCCAAACAGCTGAGGTTCCCAAGGCACCCGCAGCACCCCCAAATGGGGACTGTGGCCAGACCAGGGCCCTGCTCTCCTGCCTCCCCCCACCCCTGTGGTGCTCCCTCCTGCCGCTCCTGGGTGTGGCTGTATGGGGCTCAGGGGGCTCAGACCCATGGAACCGCGAGGTCACTGGAGGGCAGAACCTGGAGTGGGGCTGGGAGAGGCCGCAGCGCTGGGGGTTAAGGGACAGACCCTGCTGCTCGGCCTTGCATGACCCTGGGGGCCCCAGGTTCCCATCTGTAAAGTAGCTTAACAGGAGTGACCCCCGCCCGGTCTCTGCGAGGACTGGGCTGGGCTGGGGGGATTTACAGGATAAACTGGGGGAGCGGGGAGTGGGAGGGATGGAGGAAGAGGGTCTGGCCACCCCGCTGGTCCCTGAGACCTGAAAACCGAAACCCGAACCTGAGGAAGTTCTTGCTTCCCAGATGCCCCACCCAGCGCGAAGTGAACGAGTCTCGGAATCTTTCCAAAATTTGCCGGGTTATGGAGACAGGAGCCAGCATCTCTGCAAGGAGATTTGCCGGAGAGGAGAGGGCGCTCTGTCGCGGGAGCCCTGAGGGCTTGAGGTCCCCGGCCCCCCACCCAGCCGGCCCCCCACCCAGCCCTCGCACTGGGTCAACATCTAATGCAGGTGAGAGTGTGGGTCCCCCCAGCCCCCTGTGGAGAGGTTGTTAAAACCGTTTAGCAAAAGGAAAAAACCCCAAAGATCAAAAGTACTGGAAGCAGCCCTGGGCGAGCTGAGGGCTGCGGGATGAGGGGGCAGCGCGTGAAGCACTCACCCCCGCCCCGTGCCTCCGCGTAGGGGTCCACGACAACTGGGTCTTGGTCAAGGGAAAACAAGGGCACAGGGCTGAGGGGTCTTGGGGCCACCAGGGCCATCAAAGGATACACTTGAAGTTGTCGGAGTCCACGATGATGCAGTCTGGGGGGACCATCCGGGGGGTGCCGCCCTGCACAGCAGACACAGGACAGCTCGCTGGGGATGTGCCCTGCCTGGGCCCAGGCCGGACCCCCGTCCTGCCAGAGTCGGGGGTGTCCACCAGGCCCGATCCATGCGCCCACGGCCGGCAGGGAGCCCGCGCCCCGACCCACCTTCTTGCCCTTCTTTGCTGGACTTCTCTTTCTGAGATCACTGCCTTTGCCCTCCTTTCTTGCGCCGCCGTCTGTCGAGGACAACAGAAAGAGGTGCTGGAGTCCCGGGCGTTGGTGGCGCCGCTGGCCGCTCCGCACGGCGCAGGCACTGGCGCGGAATCGTTCGCTTCAGGTGTGAATTTTAGGCTATGTGAATTTCACCCCAATTTAAAAAATAAGTCGTGAGAAGAGCTGCTTTTAATTTTTGTAACAGTAAAACGACAATAACTTCTCAAACGTAAAAGCCCACAGGGCTGGGAAAGGTCCTCAGGAAAGGACCAGCTCCCCAAGGCTCCCAGGCCACCGCTGCCCGCTCACACGCCACGCTGGGCACTCACCAGTGTGCCTGCCACGGCTGGCCCCGCCAGCTCCAGTGCCCGTGTGCAGGATTTACACCCTCTCCCTTCTGCACTGGACTTCCCTGGTGGCCTGCTGGCTCTCTGGTTCTGTGCAGACGGCCGCGTGCCTGCGGACGGTGACAGCGTCTTCCTCTCTTCCTGGCCTCCCTCGAGCCTTTCCTTCTCTTCCGTCTGCCCGTCCTGGCCGTAGGGAGGATGCCCCGGGGCGCCCATGACGGAGGGGCTCGCTCGGGCCCGACAGGTGGCTGTAGCGGAGGACTCGTCCACTGGCCCACCAGGCACATGCACGTGCCGTCCGTGCTCTTGCCGTGCGCTGAGGGGCTGCTCCAAGCTGGGCCCCGTCTGTCACCCGTGGCCGCTGTAGCGGGAACCCGGGGACGGAAGGCTGACTTTTTGTCTCTTTCTCGTGCTGTTCTTGAGCAGTTTGGGGCCAGACTGTCCTACTGAAGGGTGGGCGGAGCGTCCTTTTTTTCTGTCCTTGTGGAGATGACATAAGGTTGACATCATCCATTTCTTGAAAATTTGGTAAAATTCAGTGGAAAACGGTACAAGTGGCGCGTTCTTTGGGGAGGTTTAACCTATTGCTTTTCTTTTTCCTAAAATGGGTTCCACGACTTGTGTTCCTTTCCTTCTTGAGTCTGTGGTTTTTCCTTCTGGTACTTTGTCTGTTTTGCTCGCGTTTCTTAAGCACACACGGGGGCAGTTGCTCACGACTCTCGTCACCTTTCAAGTCTCCGACGCATCTTCAGAGTCCGTGTCTCTTTTCATTCCCACGTTGCTCATCTGTGTCTCGCTTGTTTTTTCCTTGATCATCCTCACAAAACACGCCTGTTTGATGAGTGTTTCCCACTTTGTCCCCGTCGGTCCCCCCTGTCTTACTTGCATCTCTGTCTTCTAGTTTATGACGTCCGCTCGCGTCCTTATTATGTCCCCCCTCTGCTTTGGGGGATTATTCTGTTTCTAGCCCTACGCTTTTAAATTAGGTACTTAGTTTTATACATTTCTGAGGAAGAAAAGTAGCTCAGAGCAATCTGAGTTATGCAAAATCTGCTAAACGTGTGAGGCTCGGAGAGATGCGGCAGGCAGCTGTCATCATGTCCCCTTGCTCGTGTCCCGGGTGACTGCTACAGAGCACACTCTGGTAGCGCTTTCCGGGTTACCTGGCACACGTGTGGGTGCAGATTACCCGAATGTTACCACTAACGGGGCAAAGTGACCCTCACTCTTCTTTGTCGCAGTGTTTCTGGGTTTATGACGCGACGAGCACTGCATCGCCGGTCAGCAGCTCGTGCCACTTTAGTGAGCCAACGTGGGCTTCAGACGACTCGGAGCTGCCCCTCTAAGGTCCTCCTGACTCCTTTGGAAGTTCGTTGGCCGCCGCGGCCGCCGCGTGGAGCACACATCCGAGGCAGGGTGGGCTTGTGTCCCCGCGCTGCGGTCCTCGACTTCGGCCCACGTCAACTGGTTGTTTTATACGCCTTGCCTCATTTCCTTCCGTAGGCCGACACTTCCAACTCCTTTCATTTTCTAATATAAACAATTAACGCTAAAATATTCTTCTAAGTTCGGCTCTAGTAATATCCCACTAATTTTTTACTTTTCGTGGTCATTTCATGTCTTCTGGTTCCCGTAAGATGTTTAGACGCGTGCTCTTTAGTTTTCGGATGTGTGGGGTGTAAAAAGTGCATCTTCTGGTACCTGATCTCTGCCCTGGTCACACCGCGGCCTCAGATGGGGCCTCGGATGGGCTCTTTGCCGCGTTGCTGAGACTTGGCAGGACTTGCTTTTCAACGTTGTGACGGTTCCATGTGTACTTGAAAAGAACATGAATTTGTAGGCACAGAGTTTCCATTAAGCCAAGATCGTTAATTGTTGCCTTAGGTTGAATGTCCCCCCCACTTAGTCCGCACTGTGACAGTGTAAAGAAGGTGGGAAATCCTATTATGATAGTTGAAAACTGGGGCCTTGAAGAGGTGCTTGGATTGCAGGACTGAGCAGTAGTGACTGGGTTAATAATGGGGTCAGGGGCGCGGTTCTGAGGGCTTTCAAAGACGAGCACGTGAGAGGTTCGCTCTCTCTCTGCTCCACCATTTCTGCCATGTGAGGCCCCTGGGTCACTGTCACCACCACCAAGACCCTCACCAGCTGTGTTCCCTGCACTTTGGACTTCCCAGGCTCTGAAACTTGGCAATAAGCTTCATTTTCTTACAAATTACCCAGTTCCAAGTGTTCTAAGTGGCTGCCATGTGAGGCCCCTGGGTCACTGTCACCACCACCAAGACCCTCACCAGCTGTGTTCCCCGCACTTTGGACTTCCCAGGCTCTGAAACTTGGCAATAAGCTTCATTTTCTTACAAATTACCCAGTTCCAAGTGTTCTAAGTGACAGAAACGGAGTAATACAGTCGTGTCGTCCAGAGTCCTCCCTATTTCTGCTCTTTCTGTCTGTCTGACCTCCCAGTCGTCCGGCTGTGCCGAGCTCTCCCAGAGTCTGGACAGATCCGACAGTCACACCCTGCGGTTTTCATCACCTTTTGCCTCATATACTTGAGGCCTGTGGTTTCCGGGCCCGTTCACCTGACGGGGACAGAGCGCTCTGCTTTGATTCCTGCTCATTCCTGTCCCGTTCTTCTGCTCTCTAGCCACGGGTCCCTGCTGTCGTGTGCTTCTTGTGAACAGCACGGGATTGACATCCTTTAGTCTAACGTCTTTTGATTGGCAGGGGAGGCTGATGTAGCTTTTCTGTTTTTGGTAGGGACAGGCCAGCTTCCGTCACGTCGCTCTCTGAGTGTTGCTCATCCTGCGTGTCCCCACGTGCTTCTCTGCTTCTCGCCATTGCGTTTCCTAGCATGACGAGGTGACACGCGCGTCTGCTTTCCTCGTCTGCTCTTCCTGCTCTTTGGTTGGAACTTGCACAGCGACTCTGTTTTTTGGTCAACGTCGCTCTCTGAGTGTTGCTCATCCTGCGTGTCCCCACGTGCTTCTCTGCTTCTCGCCATCGCGTTTCCTAGCGTGACGAGGTGACACGCGCGTCTGCTTTCCTCGTCTGCTCTTCCTGCTCTTTGGTTGGAACTTGCACAGCGACTCTGTTTTTTGGTCGTCACCCTTGAAGCTTTACACGTGACTACCTCATGCTCAAGCGGTGCCCTGGACTCGGCAGTTTGGGGCTCTGAGGACACTTGTGCCCTCTGGGTCTGCAGCATGTCCCTGTGACCGCTCGGAAGCACATTTGAAAAGACTTAAATCGATGAGCTGGCACTTTCGCTACCCTGTGGGGAGGGTTTCTGTTTGCTTCTCGTTGCTGCTGTTAACATGTTGCCAAATACAGGGGCTTAAAGCAATACAAATTTTCTTTTTTAAAAAACATTTTTATCATTTATTATTAGCATATTCATTATTGCAAATGGTGATTTTTCTTTGTGCCCTTTATCTGACCTGCCACTCCCCAACCCCCTCCGGCCCTCCACCCATCTCAGAATCCTTCTGTCCTACGGCTCTGGAGGTCAGAGGTCCGACGCGGGGCCCCCTGGGTCAGGACCGAGGGGTCAGCAGGGCCGCTCCCTTCAGGATCTCTAGGGAGGATAGTTTCTTGCCTTTTCCACCTTCTCAGGCACCACATTCCTGAGCCACATGGCCTTGTCCCTCATCCTCAAAGTCGGCAGTGCAGCGTCTTCCAGCCCCTCTTCCTGTGCCCTTCCTGCTCCCCCCACATCAGGACTTTTGTCATCACATGGGCCACTCAGATAACCCAAGATAATCCCCCCACTGCAGGATCCTTAATCACATCCGCAAAGCCCCTCTGTCATGCACGGCAGCGTGCTCGCCGGCTGCAGGGGTCCGGGTGCGCAGGACCCTGGTGCGTGCTCTGCTGATCAGGGCGTCCAGCCCGGACACCACTCGCCTCTGACCCCCGTCACGACAGCGTCGGCAACGTACAGCTGTGGAGAGGGCAGGTCGTTCTGTAAATGGCGCACGGACCGTGTGCAAAAGCAAAGTCCATGTCACGCTACACAAAAACCAATCTCAGATGAAGATTAGATAAAAGTGAGAAAGACAAAAATGAGAGGTACTGAGAAGATGTCATGAGAATATCTTCACTGTCTTTAAAAGACCCCAAATGACAAGCCCACAGCTCACATCGCACTCTGGGGAGAAACAGAGGGGCCTCCATCTAAGCTCGGAGCGAGTCAAGGCTGCACCCTCACCGCCCCCGTTCAGCATGGAGACTCCACCAAAACAGCTAGAAATAATAAACAAATTCAGTAAAGTACACAATAAACACAAAAAGTCAGTTGCGTTTCTATATACTAACAATGAACCATCTGAAAAAGAAATTTTTTAAAAATCCCATTTATAACAACATCAGAACAAACAAAATATTTAGGAATAAATTTAACCAAGGAGGTGAAAAACCCGTGCACTGAAAACTATGAGACACTGATAGAAAAACTGAAGAGGACACAAATAAGCAGAAAGACGTCCTGTGTTCACGGACTGGAAGAATTAGTATCTTCAAAATGCTGGTATTATCCAGCATGATCCACACACCGAATGCAGTTAGGAAACTGAGGCACGAGGGGAGGGCAGCGGGGAGAGGGGCCAACGAGGGACCAGTCGACAGGCACAAACAACGGCCGCGTGTTGTGATGAAGACTGAGCTAAGTGTCCCGATCT